CGGTTCACACACCAATGAAAGTAGTTGTTTTAACAAGTCCCTGCCGTTACACCAATTAACACTGTGATCCAGATTCTGGATCACTTCACACTATTAAGAATTGTGATTGATGCGGTTCGATCTGAGAAGCCACCGAAGCCACGGAAGTGTTCCAGAGGGTCTTCCCGCTAGCCTCCCGCCCAGAATGCATCCTCGTGTATCCCTCATTATCCCCCTACGAGCGTGGAAGAACCTCTGGCACCCATGGTACCGTATTGTTCAAAAGTATAATAAAAATTAAAATTATCGTGTTACCATTGCAACACTGACGTAAACGCGAGCCTGCGTTCAGTGTCGATCAATTACTAATACATCATGTTAGATCCATGTTTGGAAAATATGGGCAAGGGCGAGGGGTTGCTGCATGCATGTATTTCTAGTCTATTAGTTTCATCGGTTTATCTTTCAGTTGTATTGGTTTCTCTTTTAGTTGTATCGATTTATGACATTGATGTATTTGCACATAACATGAATGTATAGCACCATTAGCACATAACATCAATTTAGAGCGCATAAACTCGATTGACACACTTCAGATATTTCGTCCGCTAAAAAGCTTCATAGTCTTCATAGTCTTGCGTTAGCCAAATTCTACGACATTCTAAAAAATTTTGTACTTTGATACGAAACCGCACTAAAACTTGTAAGTGGGCCTGTTTTCCCCATCGAAATGAATTAAACATGAGTCAGAAGACCCATTGTTTACAAATGCTAAGCTGGAAACTTCATGTAAGAACAAGTGTGAGCCCGCGGAAATCGCCATTTAATTTATAGTGTTTATTACACCAAGTATCCAGAACAAAAATGGCGGCGATCGATTGGGAAAGATATTGATTTCTTGCATTTTCGCAGAAAAAATACTCGAAAACGGCAGGTTTTGGGAAGTGGAAACAAGCGGACTTGGACTTTTTATGATTTATCTTAATTATTCATCTAATTTCAAAGTAGTGCCCGAACCCGGGCAACCGGTAATTGAACGATATCGTGCCACAGAATACGGCCTGTTTATAACGGAAGTAATTACAACAAACGTATTCGTCGAACTGAACCGGAAATAAATTGAGCAGTATAGTTCGTGGAATCGAGAGAAACGGTAAACAGGCATCAATTGTAAAATTTGTATGTAATGAGTGAGGCGCTTAAATCTACGCTGATCGAATACTACAACGTTTCAAACGTTGAGTATCAAAGGTAAGTCGATCGTATTTTACTATCATAAATGAATTCTCAGCTTAAATACGGCAATAAATGAATCAGTATTAACTTGGTTAATTGCATCATTGACATGGAGCTTGACATGGAGGTTGGCATGTACTGTGTGAGGCCTGTTTTATACGTCGAATTTTGGTCGCGTCGAATGCAATTAAGACAATAGATGAGATGATAAACAGTCATTAAGCTTCATTATCTATTGTTTGAATTGCATTCGACGCGACCGAAATTCGACGTATAAAACAGGCCTGAGACAACTACACTGGCTGTGTGAATTAATCGCTTTTTCTCTGTTTTGAATGGATCGCTTACACCAATCTGGAGAATAGTGGCATTTCTCATCTATTATATGCAGTTCTCGACTATCGCTTACATTTCCTGCTCGATATACTTTTGTCCAGTTTACTTGCCGTAGACTCGTAGTTTGAGATTACAACAAACTGATACCATCATCAAATACAAGTAGTCTTTGTGTTGTGACCCGATATCGTTCACTTTCATTAAGCATGTCTTAGATCAAGGGAGCACGCCAGAAATACTTGTGTAAATTTATACTAACCTTTTAATTACATGTAAATGTTTTCAATTTTCATCGGGCGCCATTTTGAATGTTGAAAGCGGTATATATTATTAGCGGTAATAAGTTCATGTCCAGAATACGCGAATGTAAAAAAGCGACAAGAAATATAAAACGTAATAAACATAAATAGCCATCATTACCCATCATATACCATCATATGCCATCATATAACATCACATACTATCATATAGCATCATATAACACCATATAGCACCATATACTATCATATAGCATCAAATACCATCATATACTATCATATAGCATCATATACTATCATATAGCATCATATAGTATCATATACTATCATATAGCATCATATAACTCAATATAGCATCATATAACATCATATAGCATCATATACTATCATATACTATCATATAGCATCATATACCATCATATAACATCATATACCAACATATAGTATCATATAGCATCATATAGCATCATATAACATCATATAGCATCATATACTATCATATACTATCATATAGCATCATATACTATCATATACCATCATATAGTATCATATAGCATCATATAACATCATATACCATCATATAGTATCATATAGCATCATATAGCATCATATAACATCATATAGCATCATATACTATCATATACTATCATATAGCATCATATCCTATCATATAGCATCATATAGTATCATATAGCATCATATTGCATCATATAACATCATATAGCATCATATAACATCATATAGCATCATATACTATCATATACCATCATATAATATCATATAGCATCATATAACATCATATAGCATAATATACTATCATATACTATCATATAGCATCATATACTATCATATAGCATCATATAGTATGATATAGCATCATATAGCATCATATAGCATCATATAACATCATACAGCATCATTGTTCTGGCCACTATGGCCCCTAGATACTTTCTAGATAGACTTTAATATTATTCACTCGTTTTCGCGGTATTTTTCCGTAATCGCATCTCATTATTAGCGAGCTAGGGGGTATTTTTACCGGTTTTGCTCTGGCTCGGTTCTCACGCCTGAGTGAGCATTCTTTTTTTACAAAAAGCGAATAAAAGCATCGTTTAAACTTATTCGTCTGTTATACTACTGTTGAAGGGGACAAGGCCTTTCCCGAAGGAACAGAATAGTAAAAAAAGAGTCACTTTTCCGGCGTGTATACATCGAAAAAGACGAACTGACTTCGAAGATATCTTTGTAGCGTGCTCGAAAATCGCTACAAAACGGCTTCAACTACAGAAGAATACGACTGTTTTACAACGAACAGCTCAATGGCAGATAAAACCACCGTCGACAACCCCGAGGTAGGAACACTAGATACGTTTTTATCGCAAAATACGGCTGAAAATACGGTAGAAAACACGGGTCAAAACGAAATAAACAGTACTAAACCTGAGAAAGCAAGCCCAGAAACGGACGAAAATACTCTGTCTGTCTCGACAAACGACCCATCCTCTCGACCCAAAAGATCAGTAAAACCCACCGAAAAGTCTATCGAAAATAGGGTTCAGTCTGATCATTCAAAGCTTGACAAATTGTGGCGAAACACGTCAACTGCTGTGGGCAAATTGCAAGAAACACCCGATTCGCTAAATCAAATAAAATCCCATACGTCAAAAGTACGTTCGCTATTCCACGAGTACCACGCTGTTTCTTTGTCGCTCTTAGAGTTTCTCGCTAACCTCAGCGACCCCAAACACCAAAAAGAATACGAAACATTGCAGAAACTCGTAAATAATCGTAGCGAGTACATTCATACAGTAATAAACGAAGCAAACGAGCGGGAAAAGGAACTTTTGCTTGAAATTAACTCTGTCCACCATTCCCGAATTTCCCGTAGTTCCCGGAGCTCCACAACATCCTCCACCGCCGCTCGAGCTCTTGCAAGAGC